GAGAGAGAGAGAGAGAGAGAGAGAGAGAGTCGGAGAAGAGGCGATTGAGAGGGACAAGTGGTGAGTGGGATAAGAGAACGAAATAGATTAATGAAAGAGTGAGTAAAGAGAGAGAAAGAGTGAGGAAAGAGATGGAGGAAGAGAGAGTAAAAGAAAAGCAGAAACGATCTTGTCTTCACGACAATCACCTGCGTATTATAAAAGTTTGATAAAAAAAATTTTACAGGACCCCACACACGCATAAAAAATTTCACGACTCGTCAAAAAATATCAAACGGATGTGATCCGTCAAAATTTCGTTTCAAATCTTTCTTTGACATCAAAACGCCATACACACAGTCAAATGTTGCTCTCGTGGCCTTGAGGTTAAGGTGTTCGCCTCTCATTCAAAAGTCCTTGGTTCGAATCCGGGTAGCGGCGGAGAATTTTTCTTGTCTAAAATTGTCTCCTTTCATCTCCTTTCCTGCTCTCTAACAATGTTTTGACGTCTGCTTTCGTCTTCCCTTTCTGCCCTCACCCCCTCCCCTCCTTTACCCCCTCCTCTGGGCTCCTGTCTCTTTCAGCTGCCCTTCTACTGCTTCTCCTTGGCTCCTTCTTACTGCTGTCTTTCAGCCACATTCCTGGTCTTCTGGAAGGAAAGATCTACACCAAGCCTTCTCGGAAAAGGGTGAAAAATCTCGGAGGTCCCGTGTGCAAGTTGCGCACGTTAAGATCTCTTCGTGGTCTAAAATCGAAGAGAAGGCTTCGGCCGCCACGCGGGCAAAATTCAAAATTTCCTACCATCATAATGTGTCCCGCGCGCTCATATGACCTTATGCAGTTGCGAGCGCGTAAAACACTTACCCCCCCTTCCCCCCAAAAAAACCCACCTAAAAACAAAACAAAAACAAAACAAACAACAATAACAACAACAACAACAACAATAACAACAAAACAAAAAACCCCAACAACAACAAACAAACAAAACAAAACAACCCCCCCCCCTCCACAAAACCAACAAAACAAAACAAGCCCCTTTACTAGATCAGAGGTGTGGCTGAAAGACAGCAGTATGAAGGAGCTCGGAGTAGCAGTAGGAAAAAACCCAAAGCAAAGAAGACAAGGAGCCAACAGGAGGCTGTGGAAATGGGGACGTTGTAGGTAGTATCATGGTAGATGTCTCTAGAGGTGTGGGTTTACTGTAGGTGGGAGGGGGGGGGGAAGTGGAGATGAAAGCAGTTGACAGAAAAGGACTAGAGAACTGGAAAGGAAGTGAAAGGAGGAGACATTTTTAGAGAAGAAGATTTTTTCCCCGTCGCTGTCAGTTTTCAAACACAGAACTTTTTTGAACGAGTGGTGAACAGCGAACCTCAAGAACACGAGAGCCCCTGACATGTTGACTGTGCTCATTTTGTCGGCCACTTGATACTCGTGCTACTTACTGTAATCAAACCACTTTGTTTTTCCTTTGAGTCACGAAAATACGGGGGGGGTGAAAGACGGGACACATTACTTGCATTGCATACGCACACTCACTTTTTTGAAACCTTGAATTGATCGGTATATAACTACGCATGCCCAACTTTAAAGCCCGTCCTTTGATTCTGGAATACACATTTCTTCTAGTGATCTTGCTGTTCACGAAGCCATCAAACACAAACAGTCTCATTTGTCAGTACATACCCCCCCCCCAAAAAAAAAACAACAACACACACACACATACCTTTCCTCTTTCAATTGCCTTCAATGATAGTTCGGGATAGTGCCTTGTGGTAAGTCAATATGACGACGCTTGGGTCTTCGCCAGACCGCCTATGACAGCTCGTACGTTTTTCTTTTTGACCCCGTGGAAAACCCAGGTCTGTATGTAGCTCAAATTGGCAGACACATTCTGAACTTTATGACTGATGTCATCGTTACTCCGGTCAATACAAAAAAAAAGGAGCTCGAAAAGGGAAAGAGATTATCAG